TATTCCATTGTGTATATGGACCACATCTTTATCTATTCATCTGTTGAAGGGCATCTCACTCCTTCCACAGTTTGGCTATTGTGGACATTACTACTATAAATATTGGGGTGTATGTGACCCTTCTTTTCACAACATCTGTACCTTTGTGGTAAATACCTAATAATGCAATTACTGGGTTGTAGGGTAGTTCTATTCTTAACATCCTGAGGAACCTCTTCTGTAACAGTTCTAACAGCTAAACTATGTTTCATTATCAATGGTGAGGCCTTTAGAATGCTTTAATGATATTATCATGGATAATGATGGACCTAAATTAATTTGATTATTTTAAAATGAGATATATATTAACTACTGCTTTTAAAATAATACTTGTCTAATAGAAAAGGCTTTCAAAACATCAAGTCTGAATAGGAGTGTTTAAGGGTGCCCTTGGACAGCATTTCCCAAGATTATTCTATCAACACAGGCCCCATCTCTGCTTCTAAAAGTTCCTCCATTAAAAGATGACAGGTTTGGGAGAATTCCAAATATTCTGTATTATCACATACATGCCTTGATCCATCCCATTCTAGTTTTTCAGGCCACTTCACTTAAAAATGTAATTCATGGTGACTGACACTCCCACTGAAATTTGTCTGCAACTAATATATTCTAGCAGCTACTGACATACATTCCTTCTCTTCTATTTGCTCACTTTGACTTTTCCCCTAAATACAATGCTTCTCAGAAATATGCTGGGTTGACTATTTTCCTGCCAAAAGCTGCAGATTCTAATTAAATAACTCAGAGAAAAGCAGTCATAACGAAAAGCTAAATTACAAGACCTTGGGAATGCAATTGTTTCCGGGTGGGGAAGGACAGTGGGGATGGTATAAACTTCTGTTGGCCTCTAGGAAGAGACAGAGTGGCATAATGAAAAGCCTGCTGCCCTTTGTGTCCCAATGCTGGGCTTGAATCCCAGTTATGTTACTTCAGGGAAATAAGTTCATAACCTGCAAGTGCTTTTCTTTACAAGAATAGGAAACCTAATAACTGCCTTGCCTATCTCAAAACACTCTGTAATGTGAAATATTACCCTTATTTCCTCTGTGCCTATCATGCATTCCACATGTGGCATATTAACACCGGACACTGACTGGAAAATACTATCTTGTCTATGCATCATTTGTCGGAATACTTCAACTGATCCCACTAATATCAACTCATTTTTCAAAAGATGAAATAGATGGCACAAAATGGCATCCTCATTTATCCTCATATACTAAGTAGATTAACCAAGATGGAATACTTTATAATTAGATGACTTCCAAAAGACCTGCAACACACTTTGACATGCCCATTTAATGCATCATTCACAAGTCTTCAGCCTCCAAAGATCAACAGCAGTGCTTTCTACCTAAATGGTGGTAGCTGGAGGTTTTTAAAAAAGCAAGGCTACATGTCTAAATCACTATGTGAGGAAGTGCCATATCACTTAGAGGCACAGAGCACTGCCTGAATGTCCTTGTTTATGTTAATACATGTAAGCAAGATTGCATTTAAAAATCTACTGGTATTAAGGAGAGCACGTAATGCATGGAGCACTGAGTGTAGTGCATAAACAATGAATGCTGGAACACTTAAAAAAATAAAATTAAATCAAGATCTTGAAAAAAATAAAAAATTGAAATAAAATAAAATCTACTGTGAATGTCAGAAGGAAATCCCTTTAAGACCAGAGAAATGATCGTCTCTTCAGCTGTGCTTACTAACAACAACATTTTGTCTAGAGAGGCAACATGTTCTTCTCAAAGTCTAATCAAAACTCTATTATTTCAATTAAACGAACTGACTCACAACCACAAGCTGATGAAGCTTGAGCTTGAGGACCCTTAAAATACACAGGTTTCTTTTTTATAAAGCCCTGCACTTAGTTTTGCCATTGTAATTTTGCATCCTGTTATCTTATAAAGTGGAGCCAAAATTGTATAAGCTTCAAGGTACATCAAAACTAGAGTCTCCTCAGTTCACCACATGTACTTTAACTACTCACTATATACTCCTTGTCAAGCTGACTAAATATTTTCACTCTCTAGAGACCCCCAAAATGGAAAATATAATGAAACAACAAGCTCTTATTCACCATTTGGTGAAGACAGTCTTTCCACATGAATTACCAGATGGTAATTTATAGCACAGATTTTATAGCACAGGAAAAGAGTGTAGATGTATGCAGTAATAGGAAGAGCAGTTAACTCGCCAACTAAGAGACCTAGATTCAAGTCCAAAGGGTGCCATACCACTCACTAAGATCTTTGTAAAGTCTAGTTTTAGTACTCTTACCTTTGTGATGAAAGAATTAGACAAGATTATCACTACAATTTCTGCTTGGAACATCCTGATTATGTAATCTAATGCTATTTTTCAGTTATATCATTTTAGGCTTAACCTCATGTTGCAATGAACAGATCCAATAGCAATACGGAACTCTTCCCAATGCCCACCTATACACAGGACCCTGAAACTGGGAAGTGTCCCCAGAATGATGACTTTAGTCTGCCTACTTCATCAACCTGAAACACTAGAGGATATACTCACTGTGTCACACTTCGCTTCATTAAACGATAAAACACAGTCCATATGTATTACTTTAATTATGGGGATAAGAAAGCATAATTTTATAATATAAATTACTTTCAATTGTTCCTTACTTGTTCTCATAAGAGTCATATCCAATATATCTAAGTATCATTAAATATTTACTTCTTAGATAGCTATTTTTAACATAGTTCATCAATTTCATCCTTTCTGTACATACATTTATTATTCCAATGAGATTTAGAATCTATTGCTTCACTCTTCTGGAATCTGAGCTGCCCTTTTGTTTCACATGAGTAGAATGATATAGAAATAACATTCTATGTTATATGTTATACAACAGTAGTAACTAGAACATTTCTAACACTAAACCAAATATTTTTGTTTTTTTTTCCTAAATCTATCTATACAATATAAATACAGGCTATAATCCAACTCAGATTATTATACTGTCATTTCCTTTCACATCAGGTATAAAACATGGGTCTCTGTAGTATTTCACTTCAAACTCAAAGATGTCATTTAACATTATAATTTTTTTTTACTAGCTATGACACTCTTTTAATACTTTTTTGTTGTTGTTTGTTTTTTTAGTTTTTCTTACAGCTACTGTCTCAGCTTTAAGTATCAAACTAACAAGTGAATAAACAATCTTTATACTCAGAGAAATAGCTGTTTTAGTAAGACTGCCATATACATCAAGAGAGCTGATTCAATATATTACACAAACTTTATCTTAAAAGCAATGTTACAATTGATTAGGAATTTCAATAACTTCATGATTTAACATCCAGCTGGCAGTCATGCAATTCCTAATCACAGTATAAAATGGATACTGATGTTCTGGAATTGAAGAATATACAGAAAGACCACTCACTTTTCATACAATTTCTCACAAACACAATTTTTCTCTCTACATTAATGTTAAATGAGAACAAAGGGAGTCTCCTTCACATGGCTCTTGGAATTCTTCATAAGTTTTATGACTGGAAACTGCTGACAGGAGCACATAGTACCAATTCTCAGTGTCTTAACTGTGGTTGGAAAGAGAGCCAGTTCTAAAATAACTACTATCCAAGCAACAGATGTCTTTGTAGATCAACATATTGACTTTTGTATAACACAAACTAAGATCAAAGTGCACAAAATCAATGTAGTCAAGATGATGGAAATCAGAATTTTGTAGAACTAGACCTGTAGTTAGAACTCCTAACTGATCTGTTATATTTTCATGAACATTAAATCAGAGATGATAAATAAAGATCTACATCTTGTGTTTAATATTCATGGACTATTTAGAGCACTTGAGAAGCTAGAGCCTACTATGTTTTTTTAAATACAGAAAATAAAAATGCATCAAACGATTTATTCAACAACATTATGATCTTCTATTTAACTTACTCTAGGAATGTGTATTTGCATGTTACAAACAGAGAGCAATACTATTCAGTTACTTCAAAATGACATGTAATCAAAATCTTTGGACTTCCAGAAGAGCAAGAATCTGCATTTGATCACTGATTTTTTTAACTATTTGCACTGTATTTTTTAAGGTTTCTCCATGTCTTTTAGTCACTAAATAGCTGTCCTTTTTTTTGAAGTATAATTAACATATAGTGTTATACTAGGTTCATGTGTATAATGTAATGATTTAACAATCTTATATATTCCTCAGTGTTCATCAAGGTAAGCATACTTGTAATCCCCTTTAAATATTCCTCCCATCACCTCACCTACCACCCCTCTGGCAACCACCAGTTTGTTCTCTGTATTTAAATTCTTTTTTTTTCTCTCTCTCTCTCTTTTTTCTCCTTTGTTCATTCGTTTGTTTTGATCACTAAATTCCACACAGGAGTGAGATCATATGGCATTTGTCTTTCTCTGATTGATTTACTTCACTTAGCATTATACCCTCTAGGTCCATCCATGTTGTCACTATGGCAAGATTTCATTCATTTTTATGGCTGAGTAATATTCCATTGTGTATATATACTCATCTTCTTTATCTGATTGCTGTGTTTAGGTAAGTTCTGACTTATAAAGAATTTCATAGATCACTGCATAAAACTTAAGCTTAGGTCTAGAATATATGTACACACAGGCATATGTGCATACATACCCCACATAATCAAGCAAAATCTACATATCAGTCCTGAGTTCCTACCACTGTACCTTCTTACTCAGGTAATTCAACTGAGACACTGAAATGTTTATATAATTAATTCAATTATTCATGTGTTTTTCCCTGTAAGCCATCTAAAGTGTAATTTTTAAAAATGTGTCAAATTAAACCACTGACAATGCTGGATTTTTTACAATAGAGAAAAAAAGGCCCTATCAGAGATTGGGCAGCCAATGTCAATGACATTGTTATACCTAAGTCAAGAATGGGCCATTTAAACCTGTTTAACCTAAGATAAACTGATTTTAAAAGAAGAGTTAGAGATTGTAGGACTAACTTATAATTGATTTGACTGCTAGTTTTCTAGAACTACTAGTATTTAGGTTGCAGATATGCAGGTGCACATTTTTGGACTCACTATCGCTCCAAACCCCTTTTCTTTCTAAGTCTCTGGTTAGAGGACTGACTCTCTAGAAACCATAGCTTTCTGTAGCTTCTGTTTATGAAAAAAGAAAATTCAGTTACCCCATTAGTGGGTCAATTTGGTCAAGAATCACAAAAAATCCTAGATTATTAAGATTTTTCATTAAAAAAATTATCTACAGGTATTTGTTTTGCTACTGGGTACAAAGATGGTACAGTAGAGTGGTGAGATCTTCCCTTCCAAAGAAATATGCAGAAATCCTTTTTAACGGGAGTTTCACCTACATACCCCAACTTCTAATTTTCTTAACAGTTTTAAACACCTTTATTTCAATTTTCCTCAAGTACACCATAAAAGAAGATAGGAAAAAAGAGAAACTAATAAACTTGCTCCTATGTTTTTCAAATTATATTCTAAAGAATCCTGACTGTTCAAAAAAAAATTACCTACAATTCCATGGTATTTTTCAATATGAGGATAGAGCTTATATGAAATTACCAATACTTTTACCACAAAGTCAGTATAAGATTACTAATTCAAATATACAAATTACATTCCCATCTTTCTCTTTGTAGGTTATCTAAAAAATCAAAGGAAAATACCAGAAAATGGTACTAATTAAGTACTGTCAACATTAGCTGCACTTTCCATTTATTTCACTGATATTTTTTTCTAAAAACTTGAATCATGGCATCAAGTTATTTAAAAATTTCCTTCATAAAGACCATTAAATCACCAAGGTCCAACCAATCTTAAATCATTTATGTATTTACAGCTACCTTAATTGTAAAAACACAGGAAAGCTATGTTAGAGCACAGGGTCAGCAAATGGCCACCCACAAGCCACATCTGGTCCATTGCCTTGTTTATAAGGCCCAAAAGATAAAAATGGTTTTTACACTTTTAAGTAATTTTGGGGAAAAAGAATATTTTGTGACACATGAAACATATGAAATTTAAATTTCAGTGTCCATAAATAAAGCTGTACTGAAATATAACCATGCTAAGGATGACTTTCCATTTGTGACTTCAAAAAGCATTTTAGTCCTTTACTACAATCCACGTTGGTTTTTTAGATGAACAGTTTTCAGAGAAAATGTAAATCATACAAACAGCTTACCCAATAGCTACATGACCGAGACAAATACTGCTTTTTTTGACATATTTGCATATCTAAAAGTTTAAGTGATTTTTAGAAATACCATAAACTTTACGATAAAGGTTTATTTGTGCAATATTAGGTAAGTAAATTACTGAGTTATATCCAACAGCTTCTGAAGTGCCTGTATTTGATAAGTGAGGAGAATGCGGCAATCTTGAAAGCTACTAGATAATTTTTTTTAACTCAACTACCTCCATGGTAATAATTTAAGAAGTAAGAAAGTTACATCTCTGATTTTCAGCCTGACTTCAGATGAAATTATTGAGGACATGGTACTGCAAAGTCATTCTTTGAATAGAGATGACTAAGAAGTTGACAGTTTTCTGTCTCAACAGGTTATATCTTTATAAGAGTACATTTCTCTATTCATGTCAAACCACAAATCTATCAGAAAATTAATTTGTTATAGATTATAATCCTTTATCTTCAATCTATGAAATAGCTCAGAGGAAATCAAAACCACACAAAATAATACAAAACAACTTCCCACACACTATGTTCTCCCCTTCCCTGCAAAATGAGGTATTTTATTTCCCTCAGTAACAAACTTCAGATTTCAACAATGGTTTCTCTAGCTCTGACACTACACATACCTTTCTCAAAAAACCTCCCCCTTCCATAAAATTCAGAGAAAAAGTTCACTTTCAAGACTTTGGGGCTATCTTCTTCCTTCGAACCTATCTCAGAGGGCTACTGTGGAGATTAAAGGAGTTAACAAGTACATAAATAGTTTCTGGCACTTGGTAAACACTCAGTATGTGTTGGTCGTTACCAGCATTTATTATTTTCTGAGAAGTCATAAAAAGTCTTCCTGAAATTGAGTCATTCATGAAATTTCCCTGTATTAGTTAAGAAAGGCTCCATGTCCCTTGCTTTTCCTCAAGGTATTGACCCACTTTTCCACCATTAAAGGCTTCCTTCTGCCCATATTCACCTTTTAATTTATCATCAATGTAACAAATGTAGACCTCTATTTAGCAGTAAGTCCTAACTCAATGTCACACTCGTCTACCATAAAGAAAAATATCCTTTTCTTACTTGGATGATTGTTGAGAAGGTAGGTGTTATTTGGTGAGTGAGAGAAGAAATGGGGTGGAGGAAAAAACGGTTTCTTCCTTATCTCTTTTAAAGGTAAAACTCTGTCACTTTTGTCATTTTATTTAATTCAACTTTACTGAACTGTGTGCTTTGTTAAACATCTGATATTTATGAGTAAACTAAAAAATAGCATATATTACTTTAAAATTAAATCAGTACCTACATCTCTCCTACTTTATTATTTTAAAGTATCAAATACAAGGAATTATTATGTTACTTTAGATCATTAAACATACTTAAGTAGGCTCACCTTAATCTCCACAAATAATTACCTTATTAGAGTCATCTACAAATGAACAGGATATCCTAATGTTGTAACTTCAATGTTAAGATCATACTAGGGACCATACAAAAAATTTTATAGGAAGGCAAACTAACATTGCCAAATAGAAAGAATGGCTACTAAATGCTACTTTAGAGTGTGCCAGTTTACATAAGTATTTTCATCATATAACTGATACCCACATGATTGAAGCATCAGTTGTTTGCAATGTCAAGTAATTATCTTTCCAAAGTTTATTAAATCTTTAAGGAAACACAATAATGGAATCAAATTTGACTTTGGGAATTAAATTATACTAAAATTTCCAGCACACTAGAAGGATCTTGGTGGACATGAACTAAGTTTGAGTAGATTAATACAATACACTAAATAAGAGATCTTTCCTAGATTTTTTAAAACCATTCTAACACAACATAAGATGCTGGAACATTTCTCAGTATCTGATCCCTATAAAAAAAATCAATCAGCTCTGATGACTATCTTGGTTCTAGGCTTCTAAGTAAGAAAAGATAAGAAATTTTATTTTCCATGTTACCAAAGTAAAATTGTGATATACTATATTTCATAAAAATGAAATATAGATGGCAAGCTTTGTATTTGTTAATTACATTAACCAGTTCTTTTTCTATTAATTAGCTATTTTTGAAGCCAACTTTAGAGAGCTTGTAGACAAAGCAGGAAAGGATAGAATCATCTGATGGGTAGAAATCATCTGATGACAATAATGTCACAAAAGAGCAGAGCTGCATCTTACTTGAAGGGTAGCTTTAAAGCTGCTATGGAAGGTGAAAATCAGGCATACTCGAAATTATCCTTGAGAAACCACTTACATTATCAAAAATATATAGTATACAGAATTGATAAGAAGTCAGCCAGGTTTTCCTCTAGTATTGAACAGATTGCTGTTTCTTTCGGTGGCATAGTAGTAGATGAAGTGGTTGGCATGTGTTTAGGATCCATGTTGCACAAAAAAAGAAAATCTAACTTTAATCACTAGAATGAAACTCAACTAGGAACTATCTCACAAAGTTAGAGGCATACCAGTGAAAATTGAGATAACACAAGACTAGAGAATCCTAGCTCATGCTGCTTCTTTCCAAAGTAAGGTCATTAACAACATAGGTATAGCCCAGGTATTAAACTAGACTTTACTCTTCTCACTCTTGTTATCTCTCACTTTCTCTATTACTGCTTTCTTGATTTTTCTCTGTTTATTTCTGATTAGACATAGTTAAATTTGTGTAAGTTAAGTGCATGAAAAATATGATTCTGATCTATGTATTAATAGCCTCAAAGAGGTACATGTGCATGTGATTGAATAAAATAATTTCAATTCTAGTAAATAAATTCTGAAAAATAAATCAATAAAAATTTCAACAAAGCTTCATGAACTAGGACCATCATCACAGCCTTAATTTTAACATCAGATGTTTTAAAAAACCTGCATGTCCATCAGTATAGAAAAAGCTCAGTAAATTATGGGATATTCATGTAATAACCATCATTGCTTTTGTCCCCCAGTATCCTTCTACTGTCTTCATAACAGACCTTCATAGTTCATTCTTAGATTGATACCATCCGGGCTACTTATCACATATCCCTGGCCACATCAGTGGTCCAGGAATGAGTAACCCAAATGTCCAACAGACGTCTTCCCTGGAATCCATCTAATTAGAGAAGGGAAAGTCTTTCCTTCCTTGAATATAAAGTCATGATGACGACAGACTGAAGTCATTTGTGTCCATGTTCTCTGCTAACCTGGGGCGGCGGGGCGGGGGGGAACTAAGAATTTGCAGCTGGAAAATAAGTCCAAAAAGAGTGACTTGATGATGCTGAAGTCCTTTGTTTCTATAATTCCTAAGTCCTCCTGTGTAGTGTCCTTCCTCTGTTTTGGTTACATGAATAATGAAGCTATATTCTGTATTTTTGAAATCTAGTTTCAAGTTGAGTTTCAAGATCCTTCATCCAGAAATCTGACTGACATGATAATATTCTACAGAGCCAAAAATATTTTTGAAAACTATTTTAAGACAACAAAAAATGATCATGGAATAAAATAAAATATACTTTATTACAAAGTAAAATGTACACAGGATGCAAAATGTGTCTTGTATGTGAGCACGTGTGTGTGTGTGTGTGTGTGTGTGTGTGTGTGTATGTGTGGCCAAGTATATGGATATGTCTGGAAGAGACAATCAGACTTAAAATGATTATCAATTGGGAGTAAAACCACAGATAAACTTCTCTTTTCTCCTTTTATTAATTCTCTTCTGAATGCTATTTGTCCTCTGTTATTTCTTTTTTTTTTCTTTATGATTGTTTGTATCTTATGAAATTTTCCATTCATGCCTTTGTATTTCTAGTCTAAGTTTTTCATACTGATTCATAAAAGTTCATTATATATCATGAATGTAAATATTTGTTGATTTTCATTGCAACAGTATTTCCATTTAGTCATTATTTTCTGTTTTATGTTCGTAAGTTTTTACTACTGTGATTTTTATCAGATCTTCCATCACTTACAATATTTTCTTCCATTCATAGACCAGCAATTGGTAACCATATGTTTTCTATAGGATTTTGCTATATTTTACTTCATATTTAAATTTTTAATTCATCTAAGTTCTTTATAATGATACAATCTAATCCTAATAGTTAAAACATTTTAAGTGTTATAATGCATTAAGCACTATGCTAAGATGTTCACATATTTCTTTCATTTATCCCAACATCTACTTATTAAATTCATTTTATAGATGAGAAAACTGAGGCTTAGACATGTTAAGTAACTTGTTATTAACTGGCAGAGCCAGGATTTAAATGCAGGTATTACTAACTCCCACAACAACACTATCAAGGATATGACCTATCTATCTCCTTTTTTCTGATTCACAAAATTCCTGTTTCAAATTACAATTGGGAGCTATATTTTTCTGAACATACAGTTGTATATTTCAACAAAAGAAAGACTTTTTTATATTTTATGGTACTTTATTTACAAGAATTATTCTTACAGGGCTAACCTGAAATTTCCCACATTACTACTTTGTAGACCAATCCAAATGAGATGATAAAAAGTTGGTGCTGCCCAGATCTGAGGAAAACACAAGCATTTTTCTTTAACCAACCTAAAATGACATTTGTTCTTTATTGCACAGTATAATGTTCTATAACTGAGACTTTTGATTTTCTGATCTGACAATTCTCAACAACCCCTCCTTCCTATTCATTTATTCTGTGATTATTTAAGGACTGTTGTATGATCCAGAAAAAAACACAACAGTTGGAGATAGATACCAATCCTACGGGTTTACAGACCAGTTATTATGTCAGATTCCAATTATTAATCATTTCTGACTTATAAATATTTGGTTATACTAATATTCAGTATATGAATACAGCATTTTTTTTTCACTAAATAATAATGAGTATCATACTATCCTAAAGCCATGCGAAGTTGGTTTGGCTTTTCTTCAATATGACCTCATATTTCCCATTCTACAAGTTCACCAAATAAACCAAGTTTTTAAAAACAAAAACTTTTCTCTTTAAAAATTATAATTTTAACAGTTTGAGTCCTAAAATTTTAGAAAACGATTTTTTAATTCCTCATGAGAAAGGTATGATAGCTATTGAAGCTAGGCTTAAATATCTAAAGGACACTTGTCCCTTAAAAAGTGGGCAAAAATACTGCCTTGGTGCAAAACCTCATGGGGTCCCTGATTTATGGTTGCACCTCTTTAGTGATGCAAAGACTCATCAATGATTCAGGAGGTTTGAGGCTGCTATCTCCATGCTCAAGAACCCATCAACCTTTAATGTTTGTTGATCATTTCATTATGGGCAGCACAATAGGGATATTCTCAGGTCTTCTGCAATCAAAATTCGTATTTATTTATTATTATTCAAAAATAAATTTTCCTTCTTTCCAATGTGGTTAGTCTGATATACAATTAGCACAGAAATGGCAGGTCAAATGTGTGTTTCTTTTCCTGTGACTCTCTTTAAAATGAACTGGGGTCCTAGTTACCTCCAATAATACTAACGAAGTATCTTTATTAAGTTTATGAACACATGAGTTTTTGAATACCTGATATGTCTCAGTCAACGTGGTTCTTATTCTCACTGATGTTCAAATTAACTCAACTTATGCTCTGTCCTCATTTTTAACTGAAGACAGCACTGCATCCAGAGCTGATATCATTCTGCAGGAGATAATGAGATGCTGATAAAACCCTGTGATGTGCCAACAAACAAAAAATTCAGTAAGAATAAGAAGAAAGTATATGTTTATACTTAGAGAGTAAAAGGTACTAATTTTAAGTCAAACTTATTTCATAGAAAGAGGTCAGGTTAGAAAAAGAAGGCATCTGGGAATCTAAGACAAGAAGAGATTTAAGAAGATGTTTTCAGTGGGTTCGCTTTAAATAAGAAGCTCTCATGGGGGTTTTGATTGATAAAAACAGCAGGATAGAGTAAAAATAAAGTTTGACAAATCACCAACAAAAAAGCAGTTTATACTTAAAACAGTTCTCATTTTAATTTATGAGCAACAGTCAACAATCCTGAGAATTTCTTTTTTTCTTGAGAACCTGTTTCTAAATCATGTGCCTGCTAGTCAACATTCTAATACTTACCCTGCAGGAAGTCCCTTATCTGTGGCACTCTGACATAACTAGCCTCTCTCTCTTTTGCTCTTAGAAAACAGTACCCCCTTGCTATCTTTCAAAAGCATTTCTATGGAGCCATCGCCTTTTTTACCCCCAATTTCCTGTCCCATCCTTCTATCACCTAAATGAAATTGCTACTCTAAGTCCAGCTTTTTTCAACTATTTTCCTCTAAAATTTGTTTTCTCTTATTATTTTTTTCTTCTATTTCTCCTCAAGGCACCATCATGATCCCAGTTACCTCATTTTTATTCCCCTTGCTTTCTTATAGGCAACCAACTATGTACATTTGCAATTAACTTCTGTGAGCCCCTTTTATAAACCAGATCATCTCCATTATTAATTTGTAGTACACCAACCCAGGTTCTCAGGGTTTCCTACAATAACACTTGTGGTAGCCTGTGTCATTTTCATCTTCTGTCTAGCTATCTCATATTACCAAATAAACTCCTTCAATTTTATCTTCCCACTTATATGGCCCATTTATATGAGGCATCCCACATAGTCTATAACATAATCACATGCCATAACGGTTACATGGCTTTTCAATAGCTTTTTATGCTTTCATGTTGTCTTCCCAAATGAGTAATAAAAACACTTATTTTTTATATACGATAAAAAGAAAAACAAATGGCATACAGATCCTTTACCTCTTTGGTTAGGTTTATTCCCAGGTAGCTTATGGTTTTGAGTACAATTATAAATGGAATCAATTCCTTAATTTCTTTCTACCAACTCACTGTTAGCATATAGAAATGCAGCCAGTTTCTGTTCATTGATTTTATATCCTGCAATATTGCTGAATTCCTGTATGAATTCTAGCAATTTTGGGGTGGAGTCTATAGGATTTTCCACATAAAGAATAAGGTCATCCGTGAAGAGTGAGAGTTTGAGTACTTCTTTGCCAATTTGAATGCCTTTTCTTTTTATTGTCTGACTGCTGAAGCTAGGACTTTTAGTACTATAATGAACAAGAGTGGTGAGAGTGGGCATCCCTGCCAGATTCCTGACCTTAGGGGAAAAGCTCTCAGTTTTTCTCCATTGAGAATGATATTTGCTGTGGGATTTCTGTAGATGGCTTTTATTATATTGAAGTATATTCCTTCTATCCCTACACTGTGGAGAGTTTTAATCAGGAATAGATGCTGTATTTTGTCAAATGCTTTTTCTGCATCAGTTGAGAGGATCATATGTTTTTTTTTATTATATTATTATCTTTCTTTTATTAATGTGATGTATCACAATGATTGATTTATGAATGTTGAACCACCCTTGCAGCCCAGGAATAAATCCCACTTGGTCATGGTGAATAATACTTTTAATGTACTGTTAGATCCTATTGGCTAGTATCTTGATGAGAATTTTGGCATCCATGTTCATCAGGGATATTGGTCTGTAATTCTCCTTTTTGGTGGGGTCTTTGTCTGGTTTTCAGATCAAGGGACGGAGGTAATGTGGGTCTCACAGAACATGTTTCAAAGCTTTCCTTCCATTTCTATTTTTGAAACAGCTTCAGAAGAATAAGTATTAGTTTTTCTTTAAATGTTTGGTACCCCTGGGAAGCCATCTGGCCCTGAATCTGTACTCAAAAAGCTGCTGAACACTTATGAAAGAAATTTAGGAAGACACAAAGAAATGGAAAAAAATGTTCCATGCTCGTGGATTGAAATAAGAAATATTGCTAAAATGTCTATGCTACCCAGAACAGTCTACACATTCAATGAAATCCATGTCAAAATACCATCAACATATTTCACAGAGCTGGACCAAATAATCTTAAAATTTGTATGGAACAAGAAAAGACCCCCAAATAGGCAGAGGAATGTTGAAACAGAAAACCAAAGTTGGTGGCATCACAATTCCAGACTTCAAGATCTATTACAAAGCTGTCATCATCAAGACAGTAGGGTACTGGCACAAAAACAGACACGTAGATCCATGGAACAGAATAGAGATCCCAGAAATGCACCCTCAACTCTATGGTCAACTAATCTTTGACAAAGCAGGAAAGAATATCCAATGGAAAAAAGAGAGCCTCTTTAACAAATGGTGGTGGGAAAATTGGACAGCCATATGCAGAAAAATGAAACTGGACCATTTTCTTAAACCATACACAAAGATAAACTCAAAATGAATGAAAGACCTAAATATGGGACCAGAATCCATCAAAATCCTGGAGAAGAACACAGGCAGCAGCCTCTAAGACCTTGGCCACAGCAATTCCTTGCTAGACACATCTCCAAAGGCAAGGGAAACAAAAGCAACAATGAACTATTGGGACCTCATCAAGATGAAAAGTTTCTGCACAGTAAAGGAAACAGTCAAAAAGACTAAAAGGCGACATATGGGATGGGAGGAGATATTTACAAATGATATATCAGATAAAGGGTTAGTATCCAAAATCAATAAACAAACTTATCAAACTCAACACCCAAAAGACAATCCAGTCAAGAAATGGGCAGAAGACATCAACAGACATTTCTCCAAAGAAGACATACAAATGACCAACAGACACATGAAAAAATGCTCCACATCACTCAGCATCAGGAAATACAAATCAAAACCACAATGAGATACTACTTTACACTGGTCAGAATGGCTACAGTTAACAAGTCAGGAAATAACAGAGGTTGGCGAGAATGCGGAGAAAGGGGAACCCTCTTACCCTGTTGGTGGGAATGCAAGCTGGTGCAGCCACTCTGAGAAATGGTATGCAGGATCCTCAAGAAGTTAAAAATAAAACTACTCTATGACCCAGCAATTGCACTATGTGGTATTTACCCCAAAGATACAAATGTAGTGACCCAAAGGGGCACCTGCACTCCAATGTTAACAGCAGCAATATCCACAACAGTCAAACTGTGGAAAGAGCTGAGATGTCCATTGACAGATGAATGGATAAAGACAATGTAGTATATACATATATATACCACATCATCTTTACACACACACACACACACACACACACACACACATATGCATATGATGGAATATTACTCAGCAATCAGAAAGGATGAATACTTAACACTTACATTGACATGGATGGAACTGGTGGGTATTATGCTGAGTGAAATAAGTCAATCAGAGAAGGGAAATCATATGGTTTCACTCGTATGTGAAATAGAAGAAACAGCACAGAGGATCATAGGGAAAGGGAGAGAAAACAAAATGGAAGAAATCAGAGACGGAGAGAAACCACGAGAGATTCTTAACTATGGGAAACAAACTGAGGGCTGGTGGAGGGGCGGTGGGGGGGATGGGATAATTTAGTGATGGGCATTAAGGATGGCACTTGATGTGAAGACCAATGGTGTTAATGGAACTGGTGAATTACTGAACACTACATCTGAAACTAATGTTGGCTAATTGAATGTAGATGAAAAAGTAAATAAATAAAAATAATTTTTAAAGATTTATTTGAGAGAGAGAGAGTAAGCACAAGTGGAGGATGGGGTAGAGGGAAAAGCAGACTCTCCACGAAGCAGGGAATCCAATGTGGGACTCGATTCCAGGACCCTGGGATCATGACCTGAGCCAAAGGTAGACGCCCAACCTACTGAGCCACCCAGGTGCCCAAAAATAATAA